ATTAGTGGTAATTGAGACCATCGAGGATATGTTCAACGATTTCGTGGCAGCGATGATTTGTGAAAACACAATAATGTTATTCGACACACTTGAGAAAGTGAAAAAGCAATGCAAAGACAGAAGTTTTAACGTCATGGATATTCCGTGGATGCAGCTGACTGGAGTAAAGAATGTTCTGTTAACAGGCAATGGACACAACGATATTTCCCAAAGCGAGCAAGAAGATTTACTTAGCAGAAATTTAACCTCACTTAATTTGAGTCGTGATCCAGTAGCAGGAGATGGCGACTGTGCTTTTGCCAGCATTATTAAACAGCTTCGTAAATCAAACGAATTGCAAACGGAAACAACTTTAAAGAAATACTTAACAGACTTAGGCTTAGGAGGAAGTTTTGACGAAGACGTCCATTTCCTTCGTCAAATTTTTGTCAACGCAGTGCAATCAAGTGAAGACTATCAACAAATGCTTGGAGTTGATCAACAGGAAATGAACTATGAAACTGAACGATTTCGAGATGAAGGGACCTATTGTGGGGAAATGGGAGACTTGATAATGAAAGTRTGTTCAGATGTGTTGAAAATTCCCATATTGGTCGTCACCAACTTACCTGGATTACCATATATTCCCTTTGTACCCGAACAGCAGATCGTGACAGAGATGCTATGCATGTCCTTTAATGCCTATGGTCCAGGTCATTACGACGCTACTTCATTGCTGAACAACGATGAAGGTAATTTGAACGATATCATATCAGGGACTGGAAGGGGTTTTACGTGATCTGTTATTTGACTTAAATCCGCGAGTGCATGATTCGAGATATCATAAGTTCTCATTCATGCATTTTTTGATATATTCAGTTTTAATTCACGGGGAAAAAAGCGCGTGATTCGTGAATTGATCGAAATATAGTCTTTTGAAATACAGTCATACGAAGTTTGGATAACAAATGTTTCATTGTTATTTYATCTTTTATCTTATTTTATTTTATCTTTACAGAAAATGCCAATGAGGCCGCTTCGAACGGTCAAAGAAAAACCTGTTCTTGTGGAAGAAATAAGAAAGGGCAAAGTGTGTCGTCTTGCATACCATTCGACACTGACACTGACGCTGCGCGAGCTGGCCGGAAATGTCCTTGTGTGATGGAGGGATTGTCCTGCTGCAACAGCTGCAGATGTAGAGGCTGTCAAAACAAGGATGAAATAAGCACAGACACAGAAAAGGCACAGATGTCCTGCAGGTGCGGCGAAAGCGCAGAATATAAAGAATCTAAAGAATACATCGCATGCAACAATACAACACGAAAAACAAAGTGTCCTTGCTTCAAAAACAAGAAACCATGCGGAGAACATTGCTATTGCAAAAACTGCAAAAAATGTGTATGGAGAATGCACTAGGCCTTACGATGTTTCGCATAGTCCAGTTACGAAAAGAAAAAGATCAAACCCCTCACCATTCAAGAAGATGCGGAGTGCTGATTACCTATTAGAGAAAGGAAGCAAACCGACTTCTTCCGTGTGGTCAGAATATGAAACATGTATGCTTTTCACTATAATGAAAGCTATCCTGTCCTGTTTGGTACCACTTTCAGTAGGAAACATTACCCAATTGTACAACCATGTTACGCAGTCCACAATTTGTGAGGAAACTAAACTACCCGTGCGTTCAAAGAAAACTAGCGAAATTCAAGGAAAGTTGAAGCAGATCGAAGCTACAGTGAACACACATGATTACAGTGAATACACATGATTACAGTGAACACAATTTGTGAGGAAACTAAACTACCCGTGCGTTCAAAGAAAACTAGCGAAATTCAAGGAAAGTTGAAGCAGATCGAAGCGAAGCAAATGGTCATCATGGGAAAATCCGGTGGTCATGGTGAACATTAAGCAAGACATTTAAATTGAATAAATAGAGGATATTAATGGGCGCGCTGAGATAATAATGATTAATAATGATTAGACATTTTATCGAAAAGGAGAAATATAGGTACTTTGTGGATAATT